CTCTCTGTCCCTCTGGCTCGTAGCGTAGCGTTAGCTGTCTGACTCGTAGCGTAGCGTTAGCTCTCTCAGTTTGAACAACGTTCCCATTGCATTAGAACATTATGGGATGGTAATGATTCCTCCAGGTATTAATCAGACCCTCGGGTGTTACCATGGAAACAGTTACTTTTATTTTTAAAAACTTTAATTTTGATTGAAAAATATAAAATAAGGAACTTATTTATTTTTCTTTAGTAGGAGACTATGGTATAATCAATCAATCAATCAATCAATCAATCAATCACACTGTACTGGTCTCAGTGGGAGGACTGGGAACCCACTGAGCGTCTCACCAGCAGCTTCCAGCGTGTCGTCCTTCAGACTCGGGACGTCGGTGGACGGAGAGCCGCCCTCCACACCCAGAGCGGAGTAGGACGAGGACAGGCCGTCCTCCACATCCAGGGAGTTTCCTGCTGCCGTGACCCCGTCTGACAGCTCCAGGCTCGGGATGGAGAAGGAGGCGGAGTCTGTGGACTCCCGCTGGTCGTCCGAGCCGCCCGCCGTCGCCACAGAGGAGCTCTCCTCCAGGTCCAGGTCCAGACCTGCAGACGGAGAGCAGAGTTCTTCCTTTATAGATGAATGAGTGAATATCACTGGCTGCTGTTGGCACTGTTCGTTATTATAATCGTTGTTTTCTGTCTGTTCTCTTTGGCCTGCAGCCAATCACATCACAGAACAACAATGGCTGACTGAAGGCGTCTCCTGACTGGCTGCTTGTTTCTCTGCTCCACTTCCTGAATGTTCCTCCAAACCACCGACACTGCGACTGAACCATGTGTCGCTTTATTTCACTTTAATTACTAATCTATAATCATTAAACACTGTATAAACTCTGATTCAATCAATAATCAATAATCAGAAGCTGTCATACATTGACTGTTTACCATCCACTGTTTAGATCTTGGTGCTTTTTAACTCTAGATTTGAACCGGATGAAGGATTTTAGTCATCGGACGTCTGGATCTTAAGTTATCAGAGAAACAAGCTGAGCTAACGTTAGCAGCAGCTCGGCTCGCAGCCCCTCCGGGACGTCCTTTGTCTGTCCAACAGCGTGGGAGAAGCAGTGATTGTTAAGGTGGAACTGCTTTATTCAGTGTGTTTAAGGTGGAACTGCTTTATTCAGTGTGTTTAGTGGTTTTAATCAGTGGGTCTGTTTGTTTTGGAGAGGAGGAGACCTCTGTGGATCATTGGGCTCCCGGAGAAGCTGACTGCAATGACGCCAATGGTGGTGAGGACAGCAACTCCCATGATCCCACAGACTCTGTTGTCTTTCTTCCCTTGTGGCCGAAACTTGAAGCACATTCAGAGCCGGTAACTGGTTCTTTATTATTTTACAGACTCAACCGTCCTCAGTTTCGGGTTTGGAGTGTGACGTATGACGATGAGTCCGAGGTTGTAAACGAGTCTCTGGATTAAACTTCCTGGTGGGTTCTGGTCCTCCATAGTTAAAAGAGCCGCAGTGTTTCAGAGTAAAGACGTGTTTTTGTGTCTCTGGCAGTTAACTGCGGGCTAATGGAGGTCAGAAGAGGTGTAACGGCAGCAGATTGTTTCAGTTTGAAGGTTTTCTCCGTCTCTTCTTTTCCTTCCACTCGATGACTTTTAATGTCTCCGGCCTCTGAATGAAGAGCTGTGATCTGATGAGTGGTTGCCAGGCAACCATGTCATTTTTGGGCCATTAAGTTTTGGAGACGGCCGCGGAGCTCGTAGTTTAGAGTTTTCTATGAAAAGCACTTAAAGTAAAATGTGTCTCTGAAGGTTTGTTTTAATGCAGCTCTGCTTTTTACTTTATGGGCTTCATTCAGATTTTAATCTCCCTCTTTTTATGCTTTAATTTGCTCGACTGCAAATTAAAACATAAAACTTTAAAGAAAAAGTTTGATGTGACGTCATCAAGTCAAAATGTTTCAGATAATTCTGTGTGTCTTTCCATTGTTCACATTCTCTGTCTGCGGCACATTCTTATGCAGGAAGACAAACATGTTTAAGTTTATCAGAGTTCAAGAAGGTTCATACGGAAGCGTATTGCATTCACTTGAAATTTTAGTTTTTGGTTTGTTTTTCTGAGTAATTTATTTTTATGGTTGATTTTTCGGAGTAATTTTTTTCTGATTTTCTCAATATTTTTTTCAGAGTTTAGAGAGCATTTGAAACAATAGAAGCATTAATTCCTTTATTGGGAGCTCGATTTAACGGAAACAAACATAACCGGCTTGTTTAGTTCAGTCAAGTTTTACTTTGATCTGGGTTTAAAACACTGGGAGATAGTCCTGTCTTTAAGTCATACAGATGGTATTTTCATTAGTTGGTCGACTCTACGCAGGAACCTGAGGACTTTGCGGTTGTTCAGAAGGAAAGTCCATTCAGATCAACAATGTACGGTAGATAATTGAAGATGGGGCATGTATGTGCAGGCAGGAGTCACCATAGGTCCATGGGAGTTACTTGCAGGTTGGAGGTTCTAGCGGGAGTTTGAAGTATCTCGATAATTCAGAAGAAAAATTACTCTGAAAAACGGGGTTTTTCAAGTGAATGCAATACGCTTCCGTAGGTTTATTAGTCCATCTCTTTAACTATGAAGTTATAATAGTTATTAAACATTATATTCACTATATACAGAGTCACATGGTGTCTCTCTCCCTCTGCCTGTGTTGTATCGCAGCCTCTCTGTGGTTTGTTTCCATAGCCGGTCTGCTCCGACTGAAACTGCTGTTTTTATCATCTACGTCTGTGAATTAAGGATTTATTTCCACCAAACCAGAGTTGCTGATTGTTGGAAACACTAACAGAGACGCTTTTAATGAGTTTGATTCTGTTTCTGTCGACTGTAACAAATAACTTTGTTTGTTGTAACATAAATTTAAATCAACAATACAACAAGCATCAGGAGTTAGCTGAATCTTTGTTAGTAACATTAGTTCGAACATTAAACTCGTACCTCGCTCTCCTCCCGTCTTCATGTGTCTGAGCACCACTGACAGAGACTCTTCTTCTGTGGTGACGGCGGTTACCGTTCCAAATTCAGACGACAGCGAAGACGACTCCGGCGGCGTGGGCGTGGCCTCCTCCTCCTCCTCCTCATCTGGGACTTTGGCAGGAAGTGGACTGTCGGCGGCGCCGTTGCTGCTCGGGGCCTCGGCACCTGACCCCTCCGTCGCCACAGTTACGAGGAGTTCTTTGGAGACGCTTTCTGCGGGAAGAGACGGCTCCTCTTTGCTGCGTTCGATCGGCAGGTGTGCCGCCGCAGCCGGCTCTGTGCCGGACTCCGCCATGACCGGATGAAGAAACGAGGTCTGACAGAACAAACACGAACTCGTTTAAACTCAAATAACAACCGCAAGAAAAAATGTATCAAGAATCTGAAGCCTTCATGGGAGAAACGCAGCCTCAGTTTCAGCTTCGTCACAACAGTTGGCTGCTTTAAGACGGAGGCGCGGCGGCGAAGGTGACGGGCAGCAGCTGAGGCCCCAACATGGCCGCCAGGGGAACCTCGGCGTTCTCGAGTCTTTTCAACCGCCCTTCTGTCAGCCTGTCTCCACCCTGCCGAGGGTTTCACAAAACAAACGCACCTATCGGTCTGAACATGACGTACAGTCTGTGGCAGCTCGTCATGAATCAAATATACACAAAGAATTAACTCTTCTTCTTCTGTGCCACCAACAGGAAGTAGTGAGCGGAGCGAGCAGCTGAGGACGCCACTGTCAGATAAAGTCCGTCTGTCTGTCCGACCTGAGGAGACAGAAAGGATTCATCAGCAAAGACCAAAATATCCTCTCAATCCTACAAATACACATCATCAGGAAACACATCACAAGAACCTCCCAGAACCTCCCAGAATCTCAGAGAACCTCAGAGAACCTCCCAGAACCTCAGAGAACCTCGTGCTCCGTATTTTGGGATCTACACTATTCCCAAACACCCGGTTTCATTAGTCGATCCTTCAGCCACAGTGACGGGACGAAGTGGACTCGTAGTGTTATCTCAGGACACATTTTTAAATTTACTGATTAATAAAACACCTAAAAGACGCAGACGAGCAGCGACGCCATTCGCTACGGGTCCCACTTCCTGATTCCCCGGCGCCGTCCACCTGTGACTTCCTCTGTTAGCAGGTGACTGATTACCTTTCTGTGCCCTCAGGTGCACCGCCGACACAACGACAACATTTACACTCAGCACACATTCAGGACACACTGAGTTTACTTTTAAAGATAAAAATGTCAAACCCTGACAGTAAAAGACTGAAAACTATAAACTATAAATACAGTTTCTGTTACAGTGTAAACAATGATCTATAAATCCAGGTGAACTCTGCTATAATACAATAATCACTTACATTGACAGCAGAGTGCTGTTATTATTGGATTGTTATTATTTTAATGTGAATGTTAAAAGTTCTAGAAGTGTAATAAAAGTCATTATCTGTGAGATTACAGTAATTATTGCTGTTTACACTGATAACAACTGTATTTGGACAGTTTACCAATGCTTATACACTGATAAACAGACATTTATTCTACTTCCATCATTATAGGACAGATCGGCCGGTTAACTCACTAATACATTAAAATTACACAAATAATACTTTTTACTGTTAATGTCACTGATTTTATATTATTTTAGGACATGATTAACAGACGGAGGAACCGTGAAGATAACAGTTTGCTCCCTGAAGGAAAGACGGAATAACCATTAAAGAACAGCATGCCTGTTACAGTGTACTGAGTAATAAAGGACAGAGGAGTCAGGCAGCCACACCTTGTGTCTGTCTGAAGTGTTGGACAGTAAACGGCGGCCCAGGACAGACGGCAGTCCCTGAGGACAGACGGCAGCCCCTGAGGACAGACGGCGGCCCCTGAGGACAGACGGCAGCCCCTGAGGACAGACGGCGGCCCTGAGGACAGACGGCGGCCCCTGAGGACAGACGGCGGCCCCTGAGGACAGACGGCGGTCCCTGAGGACAGACGGCGGTCCCTGAGGACAGACGGCGGCCCCTGAGGACAGACGGAGGCCCCTGAGGACAGACGGCAGGCCCTGAGGACAGACGGCGGTCCCTGAGGACAGACGGCGGCCCCTGAGGACAGACGGCGGTCCCTGAGGACAGACGGCGGCCCCTGAGGACAGCGGCCCCTGAGGACAGACGGCGGTCCCTGAGGACAGACGGCGGTCCCTGAGGACAGACGGTGGCCCCTGAGGACAGACGGCAGGCAGCACAACAACTGCTCCCGTTTCCCACAATGCCCCTCTGCCAGACAACAAGCTCACTGTGATTACACTGAGTGTACTTCTGCTCTCTTTATCAGCTGACAGACAGACAGCTGACAGACAGACAGCTGACAGACAGACAGCTCAGCATTAAGCAGCTTTCTGCCTCAGCTAGCTACCTGACGTTAGCGCTCCAAGCTAACTCATGCTAACTAGTTAGCTGCTGTTCACAAACCGCCGGAGATACGTCACTGAGCTCCTCGCTCACACCGGAACAAACAGTCGGTGTAATAAGATCCAGCTTACCGACACCGACACCGACACCGGGTCCGTGAACTGCGCTCAGGGTGGCTGCTCATGCTAGCTGCTCATGCTAGCTGTTTACATTTCGCCCCGCTACCGACAGACAGGCACTCAGGAGCGTCACAGGCCCCGCCCACCACAGGAACAACACCCGACGTCACATCCGGTCAACTTTAAAAGTCTCTGAGCTAGTCGTTAGCCACCAAGCTAGCTCTTTTCGCGGTGAATCACAGACGGACTGAATGAACAACTGACACTGAGAACAGCCTCACTACGGGCGGCTGGAACAAGCTAGCTAACGTTAGCTCCACGATATTTTATTCCCAGGAAGGTGATGTCATGACCCGCCCCACTCGGCCTCTGATTGGCTAATACTGACAGTCGCACCTTAACTCAACCAATGAAGGCAACGAGTACCAGCCAATCAGAGGCCGAGGAGGGCGGGTCATCACTTTACCATCCAAATCAGCTTACGGCAATGACCACGCAAAACTCCATTAATAATATGGCGATTTAAGAAGAACTTGCTTACCAACACAATCAAACATAATCAGCAGCGTCACTTATCACCATGGCGACCTCGTTAGGTGACGCTGATTAATTCGGCGTATATTTTATATCCAAACAGCTCGCATTTTAAAGAAATATGAACTCTCTTGGCTTGTCTATGTCTGATAGCAAGTTGAAGTTTTAACCTTCAAGTCAGTGGTTTTGTTTAAATAATGAGCCGGATGGAAAATGTGAAGCAAAGAGTTCAGAAAATTAACTAATTTACGCCGTAATATATTCCAACCCAGTTGAATTCCTCCAGGCAGCTGGAAAGAGCAGGAATGTGAATGGAGTCTGGCGTCAGTAGAAGACAGTTACATCAGTTGCATTTTCACTGTTACTCACCGACAACTTCCGTCTGATGACTTTAAACTTTAAGATGTTAAATAAGGAGCCAGAGGCCACATCGGCTCTGATGGCCCAAACTTTTACCTTCTGCTTGTAGCTTCGACAGTCTGGTGCGCTACATTTGTTCTACGGTATATCTCTGACGGGCGGTGCGCTCAGTCCTGCCGTTTATATCACATTCACGTGCACAGACTCCGCCCTCGCGGCTGTAGGAGGTGATTAAATGTAACTCCACTCGATGTTGATCCTCTCTGAATTGAGATATGACTGAGGTCAGTGTAGTCCCCGCTCACCCGGGACAGGCGGTATTCTAAAACACTGCATCTGTGAGATAACAAACCTCCATTAATCCCAGTTAGTCCCAGTAATATTCCACTGGTTTATAACGTCAATAAAACCAATATGATCAGATAATATATATTAATTAGGTCTCAGATTAGGAACTTTATCCAGTGTCCACTAACTGGTGTTAAAATACACATCTTTTATATTAAAGGATTAAAATACATTCAGCAAATCTATCATTGTTTATCAGATATTTACAGTTTATTTAATAGGTTAAACTGTTACATTCAAGTTTAATACTATTAATACATAAAATAAGATTATGTCAAATCAGTGACATTAACAGTAAAAAGTATTAGTTGTGTAATTTTACAGGATTAGTTTATTAACTGACAGATATGTTGTATAATGATGGAAGTTGAATAAATGTTGTTTATCAGTGTATAAGCATTGGTAAACTGTCCAAATACAGTTGTTATCAGTGTAAACAGCAATAATTACTGTAATCTCACAGATAATGACTTTTATTACACTTCTAGAACTTTTAACATTCACATTAAAATAATAACAATCCAATAATAACAGCACTCTGCTGTAAATGTAAGTCTGATTATTGTATTATAGCAGAGTTCACCTGGATTTATAGATCATTGTTTTACACTGTAAATATCTTTAATTAAACATTAAAAAAGACAGTAATGTATTTTACTTTTTGGTGCTCCAGCTGCCAGAATATTACTGTTTTTTTAACAGTGTCATTCACACTGTATTTCCTCCACATACGTAAAGACCCAACAGCTTCGTCATGGATTTTATTTAAAGAAGTGAAAATGTTTTGGGGTTTTTTGAGGTTTTGCTGCAGTGGACAGTAAAAGTTGTTAAAAGCTGTTATGAATGCTGAATAAAGTCGTCTTTATCTGTTATTTTCATGCACTGTTATTTTAATATGTCAAATACAATCCTCTGTTACTTTTACTTATAATTCTAATACTAACTAATATACAAAATATAAGATATAATAGAAGCACTGTTTACTATATACACAGATATGTTTGATGGATAATTGCATAGATTATTGAATACACACATGGTTTGAGCATTATACTATATAGACTATAAGAGGTAGTTGCAGTGCAAATAAATATAATTGAACAGGGAATTGTACAACATAAATATCATTTAAATAATAATAATAATATATTGTAAAAGGCAACTGTCTTCACCAATTCTTTAAGTTTTAAGTCAAAAGTCAAACTTTAAAGTTTTGAAAAAAACTAAAAAAGTGTCGCTGAAGATTTATAATCTTTTGTTGAGGTAATTTACTTTTCTAATTTAAAAATACAAAACAAGAAAATCTGCATTTCAATAATTGTTCACAGTGAGCGATGAACCCAAAATTTCATTGTGTGTTTGAAAATTACTTAGTTCAATTAACATTAAATGATTAAAGTTTTCTAAACATTGTTTTAAATAAGAATATTTTTGTTTCTAATGATTCATGTTTTTCTACAGAAGAAAAGTAAATTATTTATTTACTTTATTAGTTGATAAATTATCATTATTAAGAGTTTATTTCCAAACTTAAGAGTCTGAGTTGGACTTAAAACTAAAAAATGTAATGAAGACAGTTTTCTCGAGTATTTTTTACAGTGTATTTATTTATACAGTATTTAACTGTAAGACTCTGGATGGCATCCAGTTATTGATCTACAATCTACAAGTGAAGGTTGTTTAATTGGTTTATGTCATGTCATTAGTGTCGAAGGAGAGATATAATTGTGTATCGTCGGCATAGAAGTGTATATATAAGGAAGTATAGAGAGAAAGGCTGATATATATAAATGTAAATTTAAATATAATGTATAACTTATGAATAATAAGCACAATGTGTATTATAAAATAAAATAAGTTATGTTACGGGTGTATAAACTATAAATATATAATATATGTATCAATATGAATAAGTAGGATGTAACTTCACTAACATTAACACACTTTATTATTTAATTTTATTGTATTATATTTACGTTATGTGTTATATTTATACTATCTTTATATTATAAATATGTTATATTTATAAGTTTGATCTGCTCTCATGTACAGGAAACCTTCGTTTCAGCATTTCAGAAAATCAGAGACGAGTTCCCTCTTAAAATATGAACCTCGCACTAAATGTAAACTCATCATTTCATGAAATGTTTAAGCTTCAAGTCAAACTCTTAAGTTTTAAAATAAACTAATAATAATGACAATTTACACTGTTAAACCAGATAAATGTATTTAACTAAAAAAATTGTTGAAACTAATTAATCAAAATCTTTCAGTAAAACACTGTAAAAATAAGTCTGTAACAGGAATAATGAAAATTCAATTAATGTTTCTAAAACTCAAAGATTTAAGTTTTTTAAAGATAAAAAGTAAATTAGCTCAACAAGGTCGGCAAAACGTTTTAGTTTGACTTAAGAGGTTTTATTTTGATAGGTCAGAGAGGAAGTGCTGCTGTTTGAAATGTGATTTGAAGGCCGAGGACAGAGGATGATACTGTCCTGAGATCAGCAGTCAGCTGAGTGTCTGATCTGAGTGTGAGTGTGCGGATCACAGAGGAACACAAACAAACAAACAAACAAACAAACAAACAAACAGGATGAACGACTTCCTGGTGTCGAGCAGCGCTGCAGTGAAGGTGAGAGAGACGATTTCTTATTTCAACACAAAGCTCTCTCTCTGTGTGTGTGTGTGTGTGTGTGTGTGTGTGTGTGTGTGTGTGTGTATGTGTGTGTGTGTGTGTAAATAGACATTTCTAATCTAATAAAACAAACACACACACACACACACACACACACACACAGCTGCAGAGATAATTTCTGACAGAACGAACTGACTCTTATTTTGAAGGATCTGTTCTGGTTCATTAGACGATGATTCAGTTTGAACACAAATAAATATTAACACTTCAGAGCGAATCCTCCGTAGCACCGTCCAATCAGAAGCAACCAACAATGTAACAAGAAGTTACTTATTTTTAATGCGATCGCTAACAGAAGCAGCATCCTGTCAGTGTGAGGAAGAGTGGCTCCACTCTGATATCAGCAGGACGGGCCTGAGGTCACCTGAGGTCACCTGAGGTCACCTGAGGACACCTGAGGACACAGGGCAGGAAGCAAATATTGACAGACCGACAGGCAGGCAGACAGGCAGGCAGACAGGCAGGCAGACAGGCAGTGGAGCAGAGGTCAACAACTCTGTGTGGAGCGTTTCATTAAGGAGGTCGTTTGGATCGTCAGGTCGAAGGTTAAATGTGTCAGCCGTCTGCACGCGCTCAGTGAACTTCAGACGCCGCAGAACCAAAATCAAATATCCAAATATTTGTATTGTGTCATTAAAGTGAAGATGAAGGTCTGTGGGCCCGATGAAGGTTCCTGAGGAGAACGGTTTACTCATCCTCAAAGACAGGGTCATGTTCTTCACTAAACCGGTGCTAAACCAATCTCTCCTCCCCCAGACCAGTTTCCATGGCTACCAGAGAGTCCACGTCGTCCTGGGCAGTGAGTCATGTGACCTGGACTCTGCGGTGTCGACGCTGGCGATGGCCTACTTCCTGTCCCGGGTGAGAGCGGGGGGGTTGATGGTTGTTTGTCTCAGGATGGACAGATGGTCTGACGTCCTCTCTCTGTCTCTCAGACGTCGTCGGGTCTTCAGGGAGGTTCTCCGGTTCTCCCGGTTCTGAACATTCCCCGGTCCGACTTCCACCTGCGAGCCGACGTCCTCCTGCTGCTGAGGGAGGCCGGTGTCGCCATGGAGACCCTGGTGTTCAGAGACGAGGTGGACCTGGCCCGTCTCCATGGTGACAGGAGGCTGGTGCTGACGCTGGTGGACCACAATGTCCTGCATGAACCGCCTGCTGATCTTATGACTCATTTCCTGTTCTTCAGTACCGACAGTGACCTGGAGGGGGCGGTAGTAGAGGTCATCGACCACCATCAGCTCCAGAGGGCCGCCTCCTTCGCATGTCCTGTTACCATAGAGACGGTGGCGTCTTGTGCTACCTTGGTAACAGAGCGGATTCTGTCCAGAGCGCCCGAGATCCTGGACAGACAACTAGCTCTGCTGCTGTATGGTGAGACGCGTTCACCTGTGTGTCTTCTACAGGTGTTAATGTCTCCTGTGTGTCTTCTACAGGTGTTAATGTCTCCTGTGTGTCTTCTACAGGTGTTAATGTCTTCTACAGGTGTTAATGTCTCCTGTGTGTCTTCTACAGGTGTTAATGTCTTCTACAGGTGTTAATGTCTCCTGTGTGTCTTCTACAGGTGTTAATGTCTCCTGTGTGTCTTCTACAGGTGTTAATGTCTCCTGTGTGTCTTCTACAGGTGTTAATGTCACCTGTGTGTCTTCTACACGTGTTAATGTCTCCTGTGTGTCTTCTACAGGTGTTAATGTCTTCTACAGGTGTTAATGTCTCCTGTGTGTCTTCTACAGGTGTTAATGTCTTCTACAGGTGTTAATGTCTCCTGTGTGTCTTCTACAGGTGTTAATGTCTCCTGTGTGTCTTCTACAGGTGTTAATGTCTCCTGTGTGTCTTCTACAGGTGTTAATGTCTCCTGTGTGTCTTCTACAGGTGTAAATGTCTCCTGTGTGTCTTCTACAGGTGTTAATGTCTTCTACAGGTGTTAATGTCACCTGTGTGTCTTCTACAGGTGTTAATGTCTTCTACGGGTGTTAATGTCTCCTGTGTGTCTTCTACAGGTGTAAATGTCTCCTGTGTGTCTTCTACAGGTGTTAATGTCTTCTACAGGTGTAAATGTCTCCTGTGTGTCTTCTACAGGTGTTAATGTCTTCTACGGGTGTTAATGTCTTCTACGGGTGTTAATGTCTCCTGTGTGTCCTCTACAGGTGCGATGGTGGTGGACAGTGTAAATCTGTCTCCTCAGGTCGGTAAAGGGACGGTCAAAGACAGCCAGATGGTCCGACTGCTGCAGACACTGTTTCCTGATCTGCCACACGGAGGCGCTCTATACAGCTCGCTGCACTCAGCAAAGTTTGACCTGTCAGGTGACCACAAGGGGCGCTGTGGAGACTTTATACCTACAGCAGGAAGAGTTCATTAGTAACAGAGTGTGTGTGTGTGTGTGTGTGTGTGTGTGTGTGTTTGTCTGTGTGTGTGTGTGTGTGTGTGTGTGTGTGTGTGTGTGTGTGTGTGTGTGTCTGTGTGTGTGTGTGTGTGTGTGTGTGTGTGTGTCTGTCTGTGTGTGTGTGTGTGTGTGTGTGTGTGTGTGTCTGTCTCTCTGTCTGTCTGTGTGTGTGTGTCTGTGTGTGTGTGTGTGTGTGTGTGTGTGTGTGTGTGTGTGTCTGTCTCTCTGTCTGTGTGTGTGTGTGTGTGTGTGTGTGTGTGTGTGTGTGTGTCTGTCTCTCTGTCTGTGTGTGTGTGTGTGTGTGTGTGTCTGTCTCTCTGTCTGTCTGTGTGTGTGTGTCTGTGTGTGTGTGTGTGTGTGTGTGTGTGTGTGTGTGTGTGTCTGTCTCTCTGTGTGTGTGTGTGTGTGTGTGTGTGTGTGTGTGTGTGTGTGTGTGTGTGTCTGTGTGTGTGTGTGTGTGTGTGTGTGTGTGTGTGTGTGTGTCAGGTCTGTCCACAGATCAGATCCTCCTGAAGGACATGAAGGTGGTTGCCGGGGGCGATGTGAGAGTATCTGTCAGCAGCGTCTTCATGAGTCTGGATGTAATTAATGAACTCATTAATATAATAATAATATATATTACATTGTGTCTTCCTGTTAAACTGAATGTGACGGTGTTTATGTCAGCGTCGACTAACTGATCTCAACCAATAATAATCTGACTGATTACTGTACAAACACACAACTCTATCATACAGCATGTTTGTCATTCAGTGAACAAACTACAGACACATTCATTATGCTGAAGTCTGAAGCAGTCTCAGAGCCACAGCACAGTGGTGCATTCTGGGAGCTGTAGTTGCCTGTGGTGACGTGTCCTCCTCATGTCGTCTTTGCCTGCAGTCGTTTCTGTGCAGGAAGAATCTGCAGCAGGATCTCCGCCTCTTCTGCCTCTCACGCCGGCTGGATGCTGCGGTCGCCATGACGATATCCTTCAACGCCCAATCAGACGAGCCCGTCAGGCAGCTGGCGCTCTACAGCTCCAGCTCGCCGTACAGGCAGCAGGTGTGTGAGGTGGGAGGGGCTAGAGTTTTAGTTATTGTGTGTTCGTCATCACTCTGATAATTCTCCACTGTCTGTCTCCAGATTAGCCACGCCCTTCTGAACGCCCATGGCCCCGCCCCCTGTCTCTCACCTCTCAGCAGCCCATATAAGGACATCCTGGCCTATCACCAGGGCAACGCTTTGGCCTCTCGCAGGAAACTCCTTCCTGTCCTCGCACGCTTCCTGTCCGACTGGTGGCACAGAGAGGTGCATTGTGGGGCCGATGGCGAGGAGGAGTTAGAGGACCAGCTCGACCAGCCAGACATGATGACCTCTGACCTCGCTGAAGAGCACCCACCTCACGTTTACTCCGCCTCTCGTCACCACCGGCGGCGGCTGGGTGCAGAGGATTATGGGAGTGTGGAGGAGGATTACTGCGGCGGGATGATGCCGCCGGCGCCGGTGAACAGTCTGGTGGACGGTTGCCCGCTGGACGGCGGCTTCAACCAGGAGGCTCTACTGGAGAAATTCAGCAGGATGGGAGGGGTGGAGGAGCGGGGGAGTGGGCAGTAGAGAGGAAGAGGAGGAGGAGGAGGAGGGAGAGAGGAGGAGAGAGAGAGGAGGAGGAGGAGGAAGAGGAGGAGGAGGAGGAGGAAGAGAGAAGGAGGAGGAGGAGGAGGAGGAGGGAGGAGGAGGAGGAGGAGGAGGAAGAGGCGGGAGAGAGGAGGAGAGAGAGAGGAGGAGGAGGAGGAGAGAGGAGGAGGAGGAGGAGGAAGAGAGAGAGGAGGAGGAGGAGGAGGAGGGAGAGAGGAGGAGGAGGAAGAGGCGGGAGAGAGGAGGAGGGAGAGAGGAGGAGGAGGAGGAGGAAGAGGAGGAGGGGAGAGGAGGAGGAGGAGGAGGAGGAGGAGGAGGGAGGAGAAGAGGAGGAGGAGGAAGAGGAAGAGGGAGAGAGGAGGAGGAGGAAGAGGAGGGAGAGAGGAGGAGGGGGGGAGAGAGGAGGAGGAGGAGGAGGAGGAGGGAGAGGAGGAGGAAGAGGAGGAGGGAGAGAGGAGGAGGAGGAAGGAGGAGGGAGAGAGGAGGAGGGAGAGAGGAGGAGGAGGAGGAGGAGGAGGAGGGAGAGAGGAGGAGGGAGAGAGGAGGAGGAGGAAGAGGAGGAGGAGGGAGAGAGGAGGAGGAGGAAGAGGAGGAGGAAGAGGAGGAGGAAGAGGAAGAGGAGGAGGAGGAGGAGGAGGAGGAGGGAGAGAGGAGGAGGGAGAGAGGAGGAGGGAGGAAGAGGAGGAGGAAGAGGAGGAGGAAGAGGAGGAGAAGGAAGAACATGGCCGACAACTCAAGTTCCAGTTTCTGACTCTTCATGAAGTTTTTATGATTTTATTTGACAAACATTTAATTATGTGATTAAGGGATTGATCAATATGTTCAGATACTGATTATTAGTAATAATCAACCAATAACTATATATAATGTACATTTACAGTAAAAGTAAAACTTTGAGTTTCAACATTTAAAATAACTGCAGTGGAAAGTAACTAAATACTTTTACTTTATACTTTCTATAATAAATGTATTTAATAACTTCAGTTACTTTGCAGATATAAAATATAAAGAAACTTATAAATGATGTTTTTATTATTGATTACGCTTTAAAACAACAATAACATTTGTAGACAATAAGACAACAGTGGAAAGGATAAACAGTATAAATATAATAATCATATAAATAAAATAAACAGTATAAATATTATAAACATTATAAACAGTATAAATATAATAATCATATAAATATAATAAACAGTATAAATATAATAAACAGTATAAATATAAAAATCATATAAATATTATAAACAGTATAAATATAATAATCATATAAATATTATAAACAGTATAAATAGAATAAACAGTATAAATATTATAAACAGTATAAATATTATAAACAGTATAAATAGAATAAACAGTATAAATATTACAAACAGTATCCATGAATGTGTTAAAAATAAATTGAATTTTGAAAAAAAAATATTTAACAGTTAAATAAAGATTTTTCTGATATACAATGTAATTTTACTAATAAACAGATTTATACTTTAATATTGTGTTTGTTTATAATTATCAGCCAATAGAATCCAGTGACTGAATGAATCTAACCAGTGACTGAATGAATCCAGTGACTGAATGAATCCAACCAGTGACTGAATGAATCCAACCAGTGACTGAATGAATCCAACCAGTGACCGAATGAATCCAACCAGTGACCGAATGAATCCAACCAGTGACTGAATGAATCCAACCAGTGACCGAATGAATCCAACCAGTGACTGAATGAATCCAACCAGTGACTGAATGAATCCCAACCAGTGACTGGATGAATCCAGTGACTGAATGAATCCAACCAGTGACTGAATGAATCCAACCAGTGACTGAATGAATCCCAACCAGTGACTGAATGAATCCCAACCGGTGACTAAATGAATCCAGTGACTGAATGAATCCAACCAGTGACTGAATGAATCCAGTGACTGAATGAATCCAACCAGTGACTGAATGAATCCAACCAGTGACTGAATGAATCCCAACCAGTGACTGAATGAATCCAGTGACTGAATGAATCCAACCAGTGACTGAATGAATCCAGTGACTGAATGAATCCCAACCAGTGACTGAATTAATCCAACCGGTGACTGAATGAATCCAACCGGTGACTGAATGAATCCAGTGACTGAATAAATCCAACCAGTGACTGAATGAATCTAACCAGTGACTGAATGAATCCAGTGACTGAATGAATCCCAACCAGTGACTGAATGAATCCAGTGACTGAATGAATCCAGTGACTGAATGAATCCCAACCAGTGACTGAATGAATCCAAACAGTGACTGAATGAATCCAGTGACTGAATGAATCTAACCAGTGACTGAATGAATCCAGTAACTGAATGAATCCAACCAGTGACTGAATGAATCCAAACAGTGACTGAATGAATCCCAACCAGTGACTGAATGAATCCAGTGACTGAATTAATCCAACCAGTGACTGAATGAATCCAACCAGTGACTGAATGAATCCAGTGACTGGATGAATCCCAACCAGTGACTGAATGAATCCAACCAGTGACTGAATGAATCCAGTGACTGAATGAATCCAGTGACTGAATGAATCCAACCAGTGACTGAATGAATCCAGTGACTGAATGAATCCCAACCGGTGACTGAATGAATCCAGTGACTGAATGAATCCAACCAGTGACTGAATGAATCCCAACCGGTGACTGAATGAATCCAGTGACTGAATGAATCCAACCAGTGACCGAATGAATCCAACCAGTGACCGAATGAATCCAACCAGTGACTGAATGAATCCAGTGACTGAATGAATCCAGTGACTGAATGAATCCAACCAGTGACTGAATGAATCCAGTGACTGAATGAATCCAACCAGCGACTGACTGAAGGCGAGCTCTGATTGGACGGGAGGACCTGGACTCCTGCTGAGCTTCATCAAATATTTTTATATGTTTTATTGTTTCCAAAAGTATTTATTTTACAATCGAACTCAGATTGTTGGTTTGAAGTATTGATTGTGCTGATCATGTGATCTGGTTTGGAACAGGAAGTTCTTTTACAGTGTTTGTTCAAAATAAAAGACCAGTAGGTTTTAATATGAGACTGACTCACTGCTGGAGCCTCTGGTGGACGTTAGAGGAACTTTAGAAGAACAACTGAGGACTTAATATTGGTAATATTAATATCGGGAGACGCACCAAGCATCAGGCACACTTTGTTATTGTGAGCATATTAGCATTAGTTCATAGCGTCACTGTGTCACAGAGCCGTTAGTGCGGCTGCAGACTCGTTCATCCTGTTGAGTCAAAAATCAGTCGGAATAAACTCATAGGAGAACAATCAGAGACGGCTGATACGCCCAGAAACAGGAGAATAACTCATCACTAATAACTCACTTATGCAATCAGCACTCAGGTGTGTGTGTGTGTGTTCAGCAGGTAGGGGCACGCTGCAGTTCCCACCCCTGCACCTCGCCTTGTACAGTCATAGTCGCCATGGGAACGGGGCCAGGCCTTCACCGCGGCAACACACCACACCTCTGCCGTCCTGTTGGCTGAGAGTACACAGGGGGGGTGTTAGAGTCCGCTCATAAACTCACTGTGATGTCAGCAGGTGAGTCTCCAGGTGAGAGACGGGTTTCTCACCAACCTCAGCTGTTTGAACCTGTCTCACCTGCCTCAACCGTCTCACCTGGCCGCCGTTCCCGTCGACTCCCTGAGAGAGCAGAGCCGCTGTAAGTCTTTACTGTTGATCTTTATGTTCTTTACCTTCAACCTTTCTGCCTCCTCCGCGGAGAGATAAGAGCCGAGAGTGTAAATAAAGATCAGCACTTCCACAAAGTCACGTTCAGACGCCCTGAACTCTCTGACCCACCAGACCTTCTGGGAACTTTTCACCAAACTGAAATGCTTCAGGAAAAGTTGACAGAGACACTTTGTTTTACACATTATATAAGTTACACATTAAGTTATTTTAGTGTCATATATGGAGATTACAACCTTTCCAAGGAGAAAGTCTCATTTGAGTTCCAGTGTTTGGTTTGTCTGTTCTGGGCTTCTGTAGAAACATGGTGGTTCAACATGGCGGACTCCACCAGAAGAGGACCCGCTCCCTCTGTAGATGGAACAACTCATACTGAGGTTGTGGTTCCCGACCTGGAGCTCACGAGGACATTATGTTCATTTATACTTATTATAACTGTAACTAAACAACCCATGTTTTCTTCTGAAGCCAAATCAGAACATTTTAGTCCAAAGGGTTTAAATTCTACATGTTTTGCTATAACAGTGCACAGTGACTGCCCCCTACTGGTTGAAACCAGCTAGTGCAGTTTAATTTAGCTATTGGCTGATCTGGAGGCAGGTGACATCACCAACCAACCCCTGCTGCTATAAAACCAACGTCTCCTGCTACGTAGCCGTTAGCATCTCTGAGCCGCTCGCCAAATCCAAAATAATTAATAAGTAATTTTTGAGCAGGAACAAGATGGAGTCCAGAGCAGAGGAACAAGAGGAAGACGCATCCAGGTAGTTTTTGGTTGTAATAATTTGAAGAATAATTTTGAGGTTTGGACAAAACAAACATTTTTCTGCCTTTAGTACTTTTATATTTATATAATTATTATTATTGTATTATACATTCTTTTACTGAAGTAACATGTTCGATACAGGACTTATTATTACAGTGTTTTTACAGTGTGCTTTCTGTGTGTAGGTCACCTCCTGCAGACAAGGACACCACAACTAAAACTACTGATACTGCCAGTGCTGCTAACAGTGCTAGCGCTGCTGCTGCTAGCAGTATGTTAGCCGCCACGACTGAAACAACTGAAGGTCAAACGGGTACAAACACTTTCCTTCGCACACAGGAAGTCTTTTATTGTTGTTTGTTTCGAGGTTTGCCATAAACCTGGTCTCAAACTCAACTCATACAAAAATATTTCTGTCTTCCTCCACAGAGGAAGAGGAAACAGGTGAAGCAGTCAGAGGGAACTGCGTTGCCATGGAAACACCAGGTGCCATGTCCTCAGTATGTCTCCCAGCAGGTGACGGAGGACAGGACGGTGATTTCCAACCAGGTGACTAACAGGAGAAGAGATGTTTTTGTACCAGATTTCCATCCTGAGCAGGTCGACACAAATTCAACTAATGCAATGAATACAAATAAAATAAATTAAATATAAATAAAACATAAAATACAATAAATACTACATTCAGTCATGGATCCAAACATACACATCACAATCATTTCACCTTCAACGTCCAATGAAATGTATAAAAAAACCTTCCCTGTTTTCCCAATATTCAATCAAATGAAGTACAAACTGAATAACTGGGGTCCTTGTATGGAGCCTTGTGGTACTCCTGTTAGCCGTTAGCTGTTAGCAGTTCTCTTTCTTCTCTCTGTTTCCTCTCTGACTTCCTGTCATCAGGAGCTGTTGAGGACGAGTTTGTCTCGACGCCAACAGACAGACCAGGTACAGACCACAGACAGAACAATAATGAAATAATATATCAAATATAAAGAATAAGGCATTAATGTGAAAACCAAAATTATAAAATAAACTGATTTTATTTATAGATGTTATTTGATGTTATTATTTAAGATGTTGTTGTTTATGTTTACTGTTCTGTGATATTCTGGAAGAAGAAATAAAATTATAAATATTTAACCACCAAAATATTACAATCAAAGAAATCACGCACAAATAAAAATATAAAACATTTCATGTCTTAACTGGACATTTTAGAAACATTGAAATAGAGTTTGACGCTCAGTGACCTCACTTCCTGTTTGCAGCTCCTCCCAGCAGTCTGGCCTTGTCAGGGTCAAAACCAACGAAGAAGAAAGTCCTGGTGGCTCCAGCTCTCAGTCTGTCTTTAGGTAATAAAATAACAGCAGACAGTTTTTGTTGTGATGTTTCAGTAAATAACAGACGCTGATCTCTTTCAGGCCGCAGTGAGTCCATAGTGTCAGACGACTTCTCCTCGGCCTTTCTCTCACCTGAGGACGACGATGACACTGGGCTGGACTTTGACCTGGACGCCATTGAAACGCCGTCCGACAGCGAATCACTGCACTTCCCCGTCTACGACCTGGACCTGGAAGGTCAGAGGTCAAACAGCTTAGGATGCCTTTGTCTGAAACAGTAATTAATTTAAGTCATCTATTAAAAACCTTTGATGACATCACAAGATTATTTTCCAGATGACCTGCGGCGTCTCGGCGTGGCATCTCGGCGTCGCAGAGTGTTCGGCGCCAGACCCGGGTCCAGGTCTGATTCTTGGACTGGTTCTGGACCGGGAATGGCCCACAGTGAACTGGGAGCTCTGGAGCGGGAGGACATGGTGGACAGCCAGGGCACCAGGTGGCGCTGTTTCTCCACAGGTGATCCACCACAGGAGAGCCGGGTCAACATGAGCGTCCTGGAGCCGTTCCTCAGGGTGCTGTCACACGGAGGTACGGCGGGTCTGTTCACCTGGGGAACACCTGGTAGAACCCTGATCATCTTCAACACCTGTTGTACCTTCTCTGTCATCTCTCAGGTTACTATGGAGACGGTTTGAATGACATCATCGTGTTTTCTTCCTGCTACCTGCCGCAGAATAGTCTGGAAAATTACCAGTATGTGATGGATAATCTGTTCAGGTAAAACACAGAATGGATTTTTTTCTCTCTGTATATTTCGGATTATCCCAGAGATTACAGTTCATCCTGAGGGAAACGGGAATGTCGATGTCTTTAACGCAGGTATGTCGTAGGAACTCTGGATCTGATGGTTGCAGAAAACTATGTGATTGTGTATCTTTGTGCTGGAGGTCAGAAAGACAAAGTACCAGGAATCAGCTGGCTCAGGGAGTGTTACACCACCATCGACAGGAGGTAATAAATAATATATATAATATATAACTTCTATACGTTACTGTCATAACGGCTCTCAACAGCGCCACCAGTGGTCGCTCAGCGAACTGCATCCTGGCGTCGGCCAACAAACACTGAACGCTGTAAAATAACTGACCATCATATTTAGAATAACGTTACTATCTGCAATGTTCCTAAGCTCGCCGTTTACAAATCACCCATCAGCCAACACCACGAAGCAACCAACGCCAGACCCACACCGCAACGCCAAGACACAGCCGGACAACCTTTGACCCTCATCCCTACATAGAAACACACAGAAATCAGTCCACAGGCAGCAGAGGGACAAAGCTACACTACAACCTGTTCACTCTCTGCTCACACACACTGATTCACACACACACACTGACTCACACACACTGACTCACACACACTGATTCACACACACACACACTGACTCACACACACTCATACACACACACACACTGACTCACACACACTGATTCACACACACTGACTCACACTGATTCACACACTGACTCACACACACACTGACTCACACACACACACACTGACTCACACACACACACTGACTCACACACACACACACTGACTCACACACAAACACACACTGACTCACACACACACACTGACTCACACTCACTGACTCACACACACACACTGACTCACACACACACACACTGACTCACACACACACACACACTGACTCACACAAACACACTGACTCACACACACACACTGACTCACACACACACACACACTGACTCACACACACACACTGACTCACACACACTGACTCACACACACACACTGACTCACACACACACACACTGACTCACACACACACACTGACTCACACACACACACACTGACTCACACACACACACTGACTCACACACACACACACACACTGACTCACACACACACACTGACTCACACTCACACACACACACTGACTCACACACACACACACTGACTCACACACACACACTGACTCACACACACTGACTCACACACACACACTGACTCACACACACTGACTCACACACACACACTGACTCACACACACACACACTGACTCACACACACACACTGACTCACACACACACACACTGACTCACACACACACACTGTCTCACACACACACACACACACTGACTCACACACACACACTGACTCACACTCACACACACACACTGACTCACACACACACACACTGACTCACACACACACACTGACTCACACACACTGACTCACACACACACACTGACTCACACACACTGACTCACACACACACACTGACTCACACACACACACTGACAGTCAGTCACAGTTATTTCAGTCTCTGTCCAGCAGGGAGCGTCAGAGCTTCGTCAGCAGTTAGAAACCTCTCACAGTACAATAAAACCTCCTCTCACTCACAGAACTGAATTTTCTGACAACAACAGATGAACTTTATGAAAAGCTTCTGTCAGACTCTGTTCACAAGTTTCTTTCTTCCATTTCACCTTTGGACCCGAACAGGACCCGAACAGGACCACATGCTACATGCTAAGCTAATCTATGCTGAAAACAAAACCACATTATGAAGACGGTTAAAAGATAAATGCTCTGTATCATAACGCTAGCTAACTAGATAGTTAATCTACTTTAATCATTAGTTTATTAACATTAACCTATCAGATGTAACTAGCTAATATACACCAAATGTTCAGTAGTTAGTTATTTTTACTTTTAACCATCTTTAAAATGTGGTTGTGTTTTCAGCATAGATTAGCCTAGCATAGCATTTATAAGTACAGGAAAGGAGGAAGTTGATGGAGGTTTGCTTAACTGTGATTGGAGCACAGAGCAAAAAGGGGCGGGGCTTAGGATGTGTGATAATCATGTGTGTGTGTGTGTGTGTGTGTGTGTGTGTGTGTGTGTGTGTGTGTGTGTGCAGGTTGAGGAAGAACCTGAAGGGTTTCTACGTGGTTCATCCCACCTGGTACATCAAAGCCCTCATCACCATCATCAAACCCTTCATCAGGTCTGCTGCCTCCTCTTCCTCCTCTTCCTCCTCTTCCTCACCCACTCCGTGCTCCTGTAACACATGATGCTCACACGTTTGTCATTTCCTCCTCCTCCTCCTCCTCCTCCTCCTCCTCCTCCTCCTCAGCTCTAAGTTCAGCAGGAAGCTCCAGTTTGTCGACAGCCTCCAGGATCTTTCTCTCTTCGTCCCCACTGAGCACGTGCAGATCCCGGACTGCGTCACCCAGTGAGTGTTAGATAACGTCGGCTCATTGTTGAGTCACCCTCTACCATCTACCTGATGATGTCATTTCTGCTCCCTGCAGGTACGACCAGACCCTGTCCAGGTGAAGGTCCGGGAGCAGACCTGGACCCTGTGCAGATCCCCGCTGCTCACATTTGAGCCAAAATGGAGGCGAAGAACAAGAAACAGGCCTCGAGCTGCTTCAGTCCAAATCACACACATCAGATTATACAAACATTATAATAATATATTGATTATACAAACATTATAATGATATATTGATTATACAAACATTATAATGATATATTGATTATACAAACATTATAATGATATATTGATTATACAAACATTATAATAATATATTGATTATACAAACATTATAATGATATATTGATTATACAAACATTATAATGATATATTGATTATACAAACATTATAATGATATATTGTCCTACCACACTGCCCCCACAGGTAAACCGCAGTAACTGCAGTTCTGGTCCAAACTGAACTTTAAATGTTGGATCTTGTTTCTAAGTTCAGTTTGGCTCTCAGAGGAACAACAATATAAAAACTGCTGTAACTCCAGAATCCAACAACCAACACACTCAATTCTAGACAGTTTCAGGACAACGTGGGAATTAAAACAAAGAGAATCTTCATGTTCTCCACTGGGAACTCTGACTGAGACTAGTTACTGCGGTTAGCCTCTGGGGGGCAGCGTAGTTACTGCGGTTAGCCTCTGGGGGGCAGCGTAGTTACTGCGGTTAGCCTCTGGGGGGCAGCGTAGTTACTGCGGTTAGCCTCTGGGGGGCAGCGTAGTTACTGCGGTTAGCCTCTGGGGGGCAGCGTAGTTACTGCAGTTAGCCTCTGGGGGGCAGCGTAGTTACTGCAGTTAGCCTCTGGGGGGCAGCGTAGTTACTGCAGTTAGCCTCTGGGGGGCAGCGTAGTTACTGCGGTTAGCCTCTGGGGGGCAGCGTAGTTACTGCGGTTAGCCTCTGGGGGGCAGCGTAGTTACTGTGGTTATTTCTTCTGTGATATAATCTTTATTTCTTTGTCAGTGTTGATTTCTGGTTGAACGCTCTGATATTTTCAGTCTTTCAGGGTTTTAATGTGCAATAAACATTCTCCTGACTCAGTGTTTCAGCAGGAGTTGCACCATCAACCTGCTGCCTTGCTTTAAAACTTTGGTGGTTGTGTTGTGACTTGCTGTTGGCTGATTCCTCTCAGCCACTGTATAAAACGGTTCATGATGTTTTTGTCAAAGGTGAAATATTTTTGGTGCTAAATAAAATTAAGATGGTTCAGTGTTTTGATTTCTATCTGGTGAATTATGTTGCTGTGTTTATATAGTGTATAGTGTTTATATATAGCGTATATATCGTGTTTATAGTGTTTATATAGTGTCTAAATATATATAGTGTTTATGTATAGTGTATATATAGTGTTTATATATAGCGTATATATAGTGTTTATAGTGTATATATAGTGTTTATATAGTGTGTAAATATATATAGTGTTTATATATAGTGTATATATAGTGTTTATATATAGTGTGTATATATAGTGTTTATATATAGCGTATATATAGTGTTTATAGTGTATATATAGTGTTTATATAGTGTGTAAATATATATAGTGTTTATGTATAGTGTATATATAGTGTTTATATATAGTGTGTATATATAGTGTTTATATAGTGTGTGTATATATATAGTGTTTATATATAGTGTTTATATATAGTGTATATATAGTGTTTATATAGCTTTTATATAGTGTATATATAGTGTGTGTGTGTATATATATAGTGTTTATATATAGTGTATATATAGTGTTAATATATATTGTATATATAGTTTATATATAGTATATATAGTGTTTATATAGTGTTAATATATATTGTATATAAAGTGTATATATAGTGTTTATATATAGTGTGTATATATAGGGTATATATAGTATGTATATATATAGTGTTTGTTTTTTTATATAGTGTTTATATATAGTGTTTATATAGTGTTTATATATAGTGTATATATAGTGTGTGTATATATAGTGTGTGTGTATATATAGTGTTTATGTATAGTGTATATATAGTGTTTATATATAGTGTGTGTGGTATATATAGTGTTTATATAGTGTATATATATAGTGTATATATAGTATATATAAAGTGTTTATATAGTGTTTATATATATTGTGTATATATAGGGTATATATAGTGTGTATATATATATAGTGTTTATATAGTGTATATATAGTGTTTATATATAGTGTATACAAAGTGTATATATATAGGGTATATATAGTGTGTATATATAGGGTTTATAAAGTGTATATATAGTGTGTATATATTGTATATATAGTGTTTATGTATAGTGTATATAAAGTGTGTATATATAGTGTTTATATAGTGTGTATATATAGTGTTTATATATAGTGTATATAAATAGTATATATACACTATATATATAGTGTTTATATACAGTGAATATATAGTGTGTGTGTATATATAGTGTATATTCAGTGTTTATATATAGTGTGTATATATAGGGTATATATAGTGTATATATATAGCGTATATATAGTGTGTATATATAGTGTTTATATAGTGTATATAAATAGTATATATACACTATATATATAGTATATATATAGTGTTTATATACAGTGAATATATAGTGTGTGTATATATAGTGTATATAGTGTATATATACTATATATATACACTATATATATATAGTGTATATAGTGTATATATATACTGTATATATAGTGTGTGTATATATATAGTGTGTATATAGTGTTTATATATAGTGTGTATATATAGTGTATATATAGTGTGTATATATAGTGTGTGTATATAGTGTGTATATATAGTGTGTATATAGTGTTGATATATAGTGTATAGTGTTTATATATATAGTGTTTATATATAGTGTGTATATGGTGTTTATATATAGTGTGTATATAGTTTTTATATATAGTGTATATATAGTTTTTATATATAGTGTGTATATATAGTTATTATATATAGTGTGTATATAGTGTTTATATATAGTGTATATATATAGTGTGTATATAGTGTGTATATATAGTGTATATATAGTGGTTATATCAGTCTGTTTCTAGTCTTTATGCTAAGCTAGGCTAACCAGCTGCGGGATGTAGTTTAATATTATAATAAATATATTATAAGCACATCCATTATACAGCATGATACATTTATATAGCTTCATTAGGGGCAGTGCTGCTCAGGAGGCACTACTGCGGCGCCTGTTACTAAGCAACCATAACCCGCAGGCTGCATGACGATGATGATGATGATGATGTGTGTGAGTGTGTGTTTGTGTGTGAGTGTATGTGACAAGTACTGAAATGTATTTTGGTTTGCAGAGGTGACGACAGCTGAGCATCATATGATAAGTCATCTCTAACCACACACACACACACACACACACACACACACACACACACACACACACCACCACACACACACACACACACACACACACACACACACGTACATTATCAGCTGACTGTGTCATTGTATGTTACTTTTATCTTTTAAATCATTGTCGTCAAAAAATTAAATTACTTTTGAGAGAAGTAACTAATTAATTACTACTTCATTAATATTTATAGGAAATATACTGGTTGAAGTAATAATTCAGAAATGTTATTTTTATATCTGTATCACTCTTTGGCCTCCGTCAGTAAACATAAACAAACAACATGTTTGTTTATGTTTAAAGATAAAAGTGACATCATATGTTTTACCTACTTTATCTATTGTTAGCAAGTTGATTACAGACAGATGTGACCGGATAATGATAAATAAAGGTTACATAGCTAGTTAGCACATAGCTAGTTAGCACATAGCTAGTTAGCATATAGCTAGTTAGCGATCATTTTGTTCTGGAGCTAAACCTTCAAACCTAGCTAACCTTAGCTTGCTTGCTGGCTAACGTTACTGCTAGCATCATGATTGTGATCTCTTTTACAAACAGCGGAGAGGAAACAAACAGAATCTCTCTGAAATAAATTCATTTATTCTGTTGACAGCGAGTGAGGAGGGACATTTTCAGGATTGTGACGTTTTCACCAGAATTTCATCGTTTCAGTCCTGAAAGATTATATTTGACTTATTGATCCATTACTTTATTGATTACATTCACATTCTCATCTGCTCTGAATCAGTTAACAAGTTATTGTTTCTTGTTCCCAGAATTTATAATCTCATGTTTGCTTTCAGTCTCGTTTACATATTTTTATCTATTTTACTCAAATTATCTCAAATAATTCTCCCAACACAAGTTCTTCTGTTGTTCTTGGATCCATCATCAGCACAAGTTAACACTTTGTGATAGTAAGAGACACGTCTAATATGACTTACTGAACTGTTACAGTATGCTATATAACTTCTGTGCACATAAGTTCAAATATGATCTTCTGGACTGTAAAATTCTGCCTCCTCTGTAGCATTAGCATTAGCATTAGCCATCGTCAAAGTAAAGCTGGACGTGTTTCTCAAATCTCACCTGTCGGCAGATTGTCATTGAAACAGCAGGAAGTTTCTCATTTATCCACTTTACATCAGTTTTCAAACTAACCGCCACAGCTGTCAATCAATCAATCAACTGATCAATCAATCAATCAATCAATCAATCAATCAATCAATCAACTGATCAATCAATCAATCAATCAACTGATCAATCAATCAATCAATCAATCAATCGATCAATCAATATGTCCCCAAACTGATATTAAAGCGTTCACTTCAGTCAGTGTTATTACAGCTGTAAAATGAGTGTGACTGAAATGTCTGATGATCAATACTCTTAATAAAAGCATTCATACAATACTGAGTATGTTCAGGAAGAGGTTGTACAATAATACAAACAAATCAACAAATCAACATCTTTGATAAACAACAACAACAACAAAAGCATAAAAATCATTGGATAATAAGAAGGCTTTGATCAGCGAGCTGAGAACCGCTCGCTGTGAGGGAAAGTGCTCTCCAGTGTCGGCGGAGGGGAATCCGAAGAGGAAGAGGAAGAGGAAGAGGAAGAGAGGAACTATGGTGGCGATAAACAAAAGGAACCAGAGCGATCCTGAGAAACCGGTCTGAGAGTCAGACCAACACCTGAACCTGAACCTGTTCCATGTAATAGTCAGATCCCACGAGAGCTCATCACAGACCCACACAGACCCTCACAGACCCACACAGACCCTCACAGACCATCACAGACCCACACAGACCCTCACAGACCATCACAGACCCACACAGACCCACACAGACCCTCACAGACCCTCACAGACCCACACAGACCCACACAGACCCTCACAGACCCACACAGACCCTCACAGACCCTCACAGACCATCACAGACCCTCACAGACCCTCACAGACCCTCACAGACCCTCACAGACCCTCACAGACCCACACAGACCCTCACAGACCCACACAGACCCACACAGACCCTCACAGACCCTCACAGACCCTCACAGACCCTCACAGACCCTCACAGACCCTCACAGACCCTCACAGACCCTCACAGACCCTCACAGACCCACACAGTTTCCTCCTGTGAATATCTCACTATCGTCTGTAAACAGTTGAACAAACCTCAGTCAACTTCCTCCTCTAAGCTAATCTATGCTGAGAAGAAGACAACCCCAGTTTGAGGACGGTTCAAAGATAAAAGAGACAGATATAATAGCTAGCCAGTTAGCTAGCATCTTATATATGTATATATACCTTCGCCACAGACTAGCCTAGCATTTAGCATATCTAAGTCATAACGTGATGAGTTTGTATGTCGCAATAACGTTATAATGTCGTCCTGATCTGTTTTTATTTTTCGGGCGTGGCAGCAATGAGCTTCCGTAACTTTTAATAACACAGCGTCTAAAAGTTGAATGTTCAGATTTCAGTCGTGGTGGCGCCGCCTGTGGTTACTAACAGTAACTGCAGCTGCTCTGTCAGAAATACAGCAGCAGAAGAAGAACAGTAGGTGTGTTCGCTCCGTCTCGTGATTCCTGTTTCTGGCTCCACTTAGAGGCTGGTTTTTTTTGTTGATTTTGTTATCAGCTGATCGAATGAAAGTCACATGACGTCAGATTGTGGTTTTAAAAAGTCCCACGTGAACCCTGCAGGGTTAAAAACTCCCACGCTCTGAGGAGTGCAGTGAACGCATCAGGCTGTTCTGAAGAAACTGAGACAGCTCAGATTTTCCTTAAATAGACGTTTTGGCCTCTTCAGTCTCGGCCGCAGGGAGGAAGTGGCCGGTCGCCACGGCGAGGGGGAACACTGTGACTCAGTGGTTTCCACGGCAACCACTCAGCGGTGGTGTAGACAACAGCTGAGTGTTCGCAGATGTCATCACATGTTTCTGTTTGAATGTTTCATTTGTAATCATAATTTAACGTGGAGAGGAGATTGTTACAGTTACAGCAGAAGAATGAGCTGAAAACCAATCGATCAATCAATCAATCGATCAATAATCAGACTTATATCAATACTTGTTGTTGTTCTGCTGTTAGTTTTATGAAGCCAGAGACATAAATGACCAAACTCTGATGAGTCTTTTTTACAATCAAATGTTCACATGTTAAATTGATAGTTTTTTTAATGGAGTCTGGTGCAGACGTGAACCGGAGCTTCAGTTCCATAATTACATGTTTTAAAATCAAACTAAATAAATTAAATATATTCTTCGCCAGAATCACAAACCTCCCAGTGAAGAGAAGGCTCTGAAATATTTAGACCATAATAAAGGGAGATCTGTTATAGGACAGTTAAATATTATTCTATTATAATGAACTCTTGTGCTTGTTTAAATACACAGATATTTGTATGGAGTTTGGTTCTGTGTTTTTATAAAGTGCAGGAATTAAACTTTTTGGGGGAATCTGAACCATCACATATTTAATAAAAGTTGTTGTTTTTAAAGAAACTAAACAAAGGATTTTATTCTTTCCCTCAACATCAGCGCTCTGCTTCCCTGATTCAGCTGATCGAATGTTTGATCAAAGAAGATGTTAATAAAAAGGTTCAGATGTAAAGCAGTGGGTCTTCCCACCAGACGGCAGCATGAAATGTTTTAAACAAAATGTCTCAACGTGGACTCCAAAGAGACCCGTTTAGGGCCCCGACCCAAAGCTTGAGTAGTCAAATGAACAGAAAGACGCTGCATGTTTCAAAAACGGACAATTTTCTAATGGAGGTTTTGAACTGTGCGTCCAGAGTTCAGTGAAGCAACGTTTTATATTTAAACTGGTGGAAAATTAACAACACATGACATCACACACACACACACACACACACACACACACACACACACACACACACAAACTCACTCTCACACACACACACACACACACACACACACACACACACACACACACACACAACACACACACACAC